GAGAGAGAGAGAGAGAGAGAGAGAGAGAGAGAGAGAGAGAGAGAGAGAATATGAGAGAGAGAGAATGAATGAATGAATGTGTATTTTTTGTACTATGGATTGAACCCAGGGGTGCTCTGCCACAAAGCTACATCTTCATCCTTAACCTTTTTAATTTGTTGTTGTTGTTGTTGTTGTTTTCAATTTTGAAATAGGATTTAACTAAGTTGTTGAGGCTATCCTTGAATTTGAGATCCTCCTGCCTTAGCCTTCAGAGTCACTGGAATTATAGTTCCACCATGACTGGACAGAAGTATATACTTTTTTTTATGGTTTAAGCATTCAGAATATAAAATGACCTCATAAATGTACAGTTTGTGGGCTCTTTCTTTCTTTCTTCCCTCCCTCCCTCCTATCTTTTCTTCTCTTTTCCTTCCTTCTTTTCTCTCTCTCTCTCTCTCTCTCTCTCTCTCTCTCTCAATTGAATCCTGACATATTTTACCATAGAGCTACATTACTAGCCCTTTTTTATTTTTATTTTTTAAATATTTTTTAGTTGTCAATGGGCCTTTATTTTTATTTATGTACAGTTTTGAGAATGTATTTATTTATTTTTTAGTTGTAGTTGCACACAATACCTTTATTTATGTGTGGTGCTGAGGACCGAACCCAGGGCCTCGCACATGCTAGGCGAGTACTATACCGCTGAGCCACAACCCCAGCCCCTAACACTGTAGTCCCTTTATTTTTTATCTTGAGTCAGGGCCTTGCTAAGTTTCGAGGCTGGCTATGAATTTGTCAACCTCTTGAATGGCTGTGATAACAGACATATGCCGTTGCATCTAACGTTAAGCTTTTTCACAACAGCTTCACAAACACCAATTATACATGAAATATAATACAAAGGATCTTTGGAGTATTAGCTGTATTCCAGGTAAACAGCAAGCAAACTACCTTTGTAAACAGTTATTATCAGTCCCTGAAAATCAATACTTCTGTAGTTTAGAGAGAAATCAGTGACAGTTTGGAGTAGCTTCTAATTCAGTTTTCTATTTCAGATATACTTTTCCCATGAAGAAGGAGTGGGCAGATTTTGAAAATATTTCTTCAGCACCTAGGAATACTGGCATTCAGTCCATTTGTATGTTAAAAGTCCTTATGATGATGTCCTTCAGTGGAAAGCACAAAGATGTAGAAGAGATTCAGGGAATGTGGGCTATTTATTTATTTGGTACTGGGGATTGAACCCAGAGAGCACTCAACCACTGAGCCACATTCACAGCCTTTTTTAAATTTTTTATTTTGAGACAGGGTTTCTCTAAGTTGCTTAGGGCCTCACTAAGTTGCTGAAGCTGGCTTTGAACTTCGATCCTCTTGCCTCAGCCTCCAGAGTCATTGGGATTACAGGCAAATGCTGCCATGCCCGGCCATTTTATTATTCTCTCTCTGTTGAACAAAACTGATGTGACTATTTCTGCCTTATTAGGAGCTTTTGTCCCTGGCAAAACGGAAGCGCAGTGACTCTGAGGAGAAGGAGCCGCCTGTGAGTCAACCTGCAGCATCTTCAGACTCAGAGACATCCGACAGTGATGATGAGGTGGGTGTTGAGGACTTAGGCCTGTGGGACTGGTGGATATTTGAGGGTCTCTGAGTTGGTGAATCCCATGGCCTTGTTTCCTTAAATTAAGACCTAATAGCCTCATGACTATGTTAATTAGCTTGATTTAACCAAGCCACAATGTAAACATTTACCTGAAAAAGAAAGAAAGAAAGAAGACCTAATAGCCTAAGATCCTCAAAAACTTGTTAGGGAAAGAAAATTGTGTAAGGAAAGCTCTGAATTGTCATATATTCATCATATTTCTAGTTGCCAAGCAGGTACCTTTGTAAGACATTCCTTGCTATTGTTTCATCTCTTTCTAGCTTTATTGCAAAATAAGGACCAAAACTAGTTGTCATCTTTTCTTTTTTCCTTATTTATTTCTTTCTCTTTCTTTTTTTGTGGGGTTGGGGGATTATCTTTTAAATCCTACTTTCATTCAAGAAAAGAAATTCTATCAAGAATGCCATATTTTAATGAGAAATACTGTAGTGAGATGTAAAGATTTCTTTGTGAAGATTGATTTGATATCCCTCAGGATGATGATGTTAACTTTTTTTTTTAATTTATTTTTTAGTTGTAGTTGGACACAATACCTTTGTTTTATTTATTTATTTTTATGTGGTACTGAGGATCGAACCCAGGGCCTCACGCATGCAAGGCAAGTGCTTTACCACTGAGCCACAACCCCAGCCCCTGATGTTAACTTTTAAAAAAGGAAAATTTAATGATTCCTTGTCTAAATCAATGTGACCTTCTCAAATTGCCCTCCAATAAAACAAGACCCTCAAAGATTCAGAATCCAAATGGAAGGCACTGTGAGGAGAAACGTGTTGAAACACTCCAAACATGTTCCTAGTTTGATTTAAAGTACTTTTTTCCCTCTTAGTAATTTCCTAGAGAGAGATTTATACCATTTCTATTTATCTTTTACCAGGCAGTCTTTTTGTCTTTTACTGTAAATAAATATATATTTATTTGGTACTGCAGATTGAACCCAGAGCCTCACACCTGCTAAGCAGGTGCTCTATTTCTTAGGTATATCTCCACTTCTTAAAATTTTATTTTGAGATAGGGTCTCAGTAAATTGCTCAGGCTGGCCTCAAACTTGTGAGCCTCCTGAGTAGCTGGGATTACAGGTGTGAGCCACCAAGGTAGGCTAGGATAATAAATATTTTTTTGGTATTGGAATTGGAACCCAGGGACATTCAATCACTGAGCAACATTCCCAGCCCTTTTATTTATTTATTTATTTATTTGGTTGGTTAGTTAGTTATAGTTGTAGGTGGACAGCGTGCCTTTTTTTTTTGTGGTTGTAAGGATCAAACCCAGTGCCTCACGCATCCTAGGCAAACGCTCTGCCACTGAGCTACAGCCCCAATCCCCTTTGTATTTTTTGAGACAGGGCCTTGCTAAGTTGTTGAGGCTGGCCTGAAACTTGTGATCTTCCTGCCTCAGCCTTCTGAGTTCCTGGGATTGCAGGTGTGTGCCAGCACTCCCACCTAGACTAGGAGAATATTTTTAACAGTAAAAATGTTTATTTAATATCATGAAATACAATTAATAGATAAACAGTATTTACCAGTGCCCTGAATATGTAGATTGGGAATATTTGCATTCTGGTTGACTATAATGATATTCTCTTAGTCTTATTAAATAATTTGCTAAAATGGCTTTTTATAGTAAGGATTAGGGAATGTTTATTCTTTTGCTTATTTTCAGTGGAGGACCTGTAATTCCTTCAAATTAATAAAATAACCCAACATATTAGAAAAGCAGTAGGGTCTATGAAGTAATTTGTTTTATTGTTTGACTTTCTGTTTTCTTTTTTTAAAATACAGAGATAATATAGGAAAATCTTTTTTGTCATTAAATTTTTATTATTCAAAATAAATATTTTTACATAGGAAATTGATTTTTAATTTGCATTCATGTTTATATTTGTATCAATACAGGAAAATCTTGAAATTTTCTCTCCAACTGTTCCTGAAACTACTTCTAATTTTCACGTTCAGAAGTTAATTGCTGTGGCTCTTCTTTCCTTCTATATTCTATTAATTTTTAATCTTTGCTATGTCTAGAATACCCTGTATTGAATTTGTGGTCTTTACAGTTCCTTAATATGAGCAGTAGAAATATCCTTGGAACTCTTTCATTCTCCACATTCCTATTGTTGGGTCAGAGTCCTAACTAAGTATGCAGTACTGTTGGGATTCCTTTTCTCTGAGTTTTCAGATAGAGCCTTAGACTGGGCTCAATCATTCTTCCTGCTTCAGCCTTCCAAGTAGCTGGGACTAGAGGCATGTGCCACCAATCCTGGCTTTCCCTTTAATCTTTTTTGGGGGGTGCGGGTACCAGGATCGAACTCAGGGCACTCAACCACTGAGCCACATCCCCAGCACTTTATTATTTGAAGCAGGGTCTCACTAAATTTGGGCCTCATTAAATTCCTGAGGCTGGCTTTGAACTCCTGATCCTCTTGCCTCAGCTTCCTGAGGTGCTGGGATAATAGGTGTGTGTCACCACGCCCAGCCCCTGTATCTTTTTTTTTTTTTTTTTTGTACTGGGGATTGAGCTCCTAGGTTTCATGCTCAGCATCATAAGAAAAAAAAAGAATTTAAAATAATGTTTTTTAAAAAAAAAAAAAAACCTACTAATCTTCCACTACGAAACTCAACCACTAAGCCACATCCCAGCCCTATTTTTGTATTTTATTTAGAGACAGGGTCTCACTGAGTTGCTTAGCACCTCTCTTTTGCTGAGGCTGGCTTTGAACTCGCGATCCTCTTGTTTCAGCTTCCTAAGGTGTTTGAATTACAGGCGTGCACCACTGTAATTCACGTGTAGCTCAGTGGTAGAACACTGGCCTAGCATGTGTGAGGCACTGGGTTCGATCCTCAGCACCACATAAAAATAAAATAAAGGTATTGTGTCTACCTACAACTAAAAAATATTTTTAAAAATAATAAAATAAGTTTAGAGTTTCCCCTGTTGCTTCCAGCTACCTAAGACAGAAAGTCTTCACCCTAGATTACTTCTCAGTTGTTAATGTGTTTAAAAGGCTGACAGACTGGCTACATAAATGTAAGTGACTTTGCCCCTGAAAGGTTCTTAGCTCTTCTGCCTCTAGGCCTACATTTTATTGTAGTTCTACTCTGCCCTACCTTAGGAATAGAACCTCTATATTGTGACCATTCTGAAAGATCATCTCTCTCTGACTCTGGCTACTACTAGCTTATTGGTAGCATAGAGCACTTCAGAGTTAGAGCAAATATTTCATTGTTTTGGACAATTAAAGAAAATAATTTAGTCTGGGTGTAATAGCACACACCTGTAATCCCAGCTGCTTGAGAGGCTGAGGTAGGAGAGTCAAAGAGTTTGAGTCTACCCTGAGCAACTTAGGGGAGACCTTGTCTCAAAATATAATAAAAAGGGCTGGGGGATGTATCTTACTGGTAGAGCACTTGCCTAGCATGTGCAAGACCCTGGGTTTAATCCAAAGAACCTCCCCCCCCAAAAAAAAAAAAAAGGGCCAGGGATGTGGCTTAGTGGTAGACTGTTTGCCTGGTATGTAAGAGCCCCTAGGTTTCATCCTCAGCACCATAAGAAAGAAAAAGAACTTAAAAGAATCTTTTTAAAAAAAACAATCTTACTAATCTTCCACTACGAAACTCAGTAATATTAACTCCAGGTTATGGATTCTGTAGGCTTTTTAGGTCGGATAGGGGACTTTTGAAAGATCCTTAGAATATGAAATTTGAGCTATCGGTTCTTGCCTTTTTTCCTCTTTCATAACAAATATTCAGACGTCTGTCTTGGGGGAAAAATACGTACTGAAGTTAGTATACTGTGTTGTCTCATTTCTGCTTTGTTTTTTTTTTTATCTTTATTACCTATAAATTATTTTAGAAAATTGGTTTTTGAAGTGACCATTGTCAGTCAGATGGAGCTTGCTTGTACCAGAAGCTATTCTGGAGTTTTTTTAAGTATGCCATCTTTATGTTTGACATTAGTGAGCCATGAATATTAAGAATTATGTTGCCCCCTCAGATTTGCTAGGACAGAAAATTGGCCAACTAGTTAAAAGGTTAATGGGATAGTTCTATGTAGAAATTTTAGAGCAAGATGATAGCTAGCGAATTGATGGGAGGAGGGGAAACAGAAACTATGAAAGTTTCCTATACAGAAAAAAAATGTACGTATGGCATTGAACATTAAGTATAAAGTCCAGTTAATGAGAGAATAACTAGATGTTTCATGTATAGGATCTTTGAAGGGGGCAAAACCCCCAACATTTAATGACAGAGAATATGGTTGTGTATATTATTTTGAGTAAATCGGTGATTCTTGAAGCATGGGTAAAAATAAACAAGGTTCTTTTTAATTAATTAATTTATTTATTTGTTTGTTTGTTTATTTATTTATTTATGGTGCTGGGGATTGAACCCAGGGCCTTGTGCATGCACTCTACCAACTGAGCTCTCTCTCCAGCCCTCAAGGTTCTTTTTCTTTTTATTTATTTTATTTATTTTTTTAAACATTTATTTTTTAGTTGGACACAACATCTTTATTTTACTTGTTTATTTTTGTATGTGGTGCTGAGGATAGAACCCAGGGTTTCGCACGTGCAAGGCGAGCACTCTACTGCTGAGCCACAACCCCAGCCCCAAGTTCTTTTTATAATGTAGAGTCTACATGGATCAAGCCTGGAAAACTATGAATTCTGCCTCTATGGTGAAAGGTGATAATGATGAGCTGGAGCATATAGAAATAGATAGCTGCCAGCTACATAAGAGTAAAAAGTACTTTGGATGCCCCCGCAAAAACAAAAAAAAAACCAACTTTTTTGTCGTTCAGAACTGAATATAATAACTACATTAGTCAAAGTGAAGAAACTGCTGGAGTGCCCTCTGTCTAAGCAAGAATTATTTTAAAAGCTTCCCATATAGTCTTGTTTTCAATATTTTTGATAAATAAAAGGATTTGTTTCAACCCTG